ATTCGCGTCCTTTGCATTCGAGCTCGAGGCCGATTCGTGATTATTACACGGAATCCTTAACGTTACCTACCAAGCTTCTCGAGATCAAGATCAACGATTCACGAGCATGTTATGGATCTTCGAGTAAATAGCTTTGACCTTTCCGTCGAGTTCGGTAACCTTTTCTGCTCTTTAAACCAACCACGAGCTCGAGCCAAATCGCTGTTAAAACCGATACCGAATCGTTTACTTAGCGATTCGTCGACAAGAGCGAGATGAAAGAAATTCGTTACTCGAAGGGTTATCCGCGTAACATAGCCAGGAAGTAGATTTAAAACGTGCTAAGTGTTCGATAATGAGTTGCCGTCCTTTTCTGCCTCCTTCTGTGCCGTGTCACTGTTCTTTTCTCGAGTTCGTTCGCCTTTACGCGCCTTCTCCTTCGAAACGGTCACCTTATCTTTTCACAATTGTTCTTTCCGTCGCAGCTGTCGTTCTCCAAGAACCATCAAATTTCTATCCGCTTCTCGACGAGCGTCGAAGTTTTCAATGGAATAATCTTTTTCGAAAAATAATCGCGTTCCCTAAGCACAATCGGTACTTCTCACCGTTTCCATTTCACTTTCCTCTTCCTTTTGAAACGCGCGGAGAACACGCGCCGAGTAAATTACCGAGTTAGAAATTGAGCGTTACTGATTAAGGGCGGAAGAGATAATAGGCGAAGAAACGCGTTCGAGGATATTGTTAGCCATAATGAGACACCTTAAATGCCTTTGGCGAGGGTGAGCGTCTTCCGTGAGCGCGCTGCTTCGAACGATCGTTGTTTCAACGATTCCGAAAAGAAAAAAAAAATAACGAATCGCACCGACGATCAGATTTGGTCGGCTCGCATAAATCGATGTAATTTTCTTGCGATCTTCTACCTGCATTGTTCGCAAATGAGAATTTGTTCGATGCTCGCGAACCGACCGTTCGTTACGAGATTCCACGCGTGTCACTTATGAATGCGACATCCGTTATGCCGTTCGCGTACATTTTCGCTCGTCGCGTCGCGTCTCGTCGCGTTGAATGCACCGTGAACAACACGCGAAATGACTGTTTCTAAATGGTGCTGACGAAGGAAGTTTGCTCGGTGATGCTTGTTCAGAGTTCAACAAAGATCTAACGACCCTCTGACCATTTTCAACCAGATGCTTGGTAACGGTAGGCTTCCATAGCGCTTTCGGTGCAGCTTCGCTCGGGTAGTGACATATTTCAAACTTTCTCATACTTCTACAAATTGTTAAACTCGTAAACTTCCATGCCGCTTAATTCGTTCGTAAATCTTCAAATGTCCAGAAATCTCTATAAAACAAGAGATCTCTTTCCTATAAAACTTTTAAACCGATTCCAGTTGTAAGAAGATTTAAGACATAAACGCTCGTTAAATCGAAGCGCCGGTAGTCTCTCGTCATATTGTTATGATCGGAATTTAAGCGCATCTCGTCGGGTTTCATGTGTTCCGATGCCACGCGATAGTGAACGTAGATTTATGCGCACAGTAATCGAGACTTAAGTCTGTTTCCTACTTTTTTTACAATTTCATGAGCGCATTTAATTCGTTAGAATCTCCCTGGGATTTACAAAGAGAGCACAGTTAACGCAAAGGCAGGAATTTCCTTGAAAAAATATCTCGAGCCTGATAGAGGATTAACGCTAGAAAGGGAACAGTTGACGAAGGCGAAGAAATGTTAATTAAGGAGAAAGATTCTCGACGGATAAAATTCCATAGGGCACTTGGGTCGGGCAATGATCCACCTTGTTAACGACAGACGCGTACCAACATTTTAATACCCGTTTCGTGCGAGAACGGATAAAAAATTCGACGATAAAAATGAAACGTACATGATAATCATCTTACAAACCCTAAAGGTTTAAAAATATTATGAGAAAATAAAATTGAAGCGTATAAACGTATGTAAATTTTTAATCTAATCTAATGAACGCCTGAAAGAACTTCTCGAGAACAATATAATTATTCCAGCAGTAATATCTTTCGCGAAAGTTAGTAGATCAACTAGTTGGCAGAAAATATAGTGCATCAAAGAGATTACGCTCTTTACCACGATATCGATCTTTGCTCGTTCCCATCGATCGCATCGTCTCTCGTAAGGTAGTAATCGGTTACAAAATTCTGTTATCATAATATTATTTGCGTTACTCGGTCCGATATACGTTTTACTCGATTCAATCGACGACTCGTAAACGATTCTATCTAGCTCCGAGGCATCCGAAAGTTTCATAAGTTTCGGATTAATGGAGATTCGAAATGGTGGCGATCGTTGGAAGCAATGACTAGTCCATCTCAGTAGGTAGAGGCAGTTGGCGAGATGGAAGGAGTGTTGGTCAGGGCCGTAAGCAGCCTCGGGGTCAACGTCCAGGCGGCGCCTGGAAGATCCTCCATCGGTTGAACGCGAGATAGTGGGGCAGGTCGCGGCTAACACTCTGTCGAAGGGAAAGAGAGGAAACGAGCAGAAGAGAGAAAAGGCGGCAAACGCGAACGGCAAATCAGCGACGAAACGAAAAACGTTCGGTTTGTTGGCTTCGAGGACCTTTTGTGTCGCACGACTTTCCTCTTCGGCCTGGAGAACGATCGACGCGAATAACCGTGTCCACCGAAGAAAAGAACTGTTTTTTGCTCGATGATCGTTCGACCGTACGTTCCTCCGGCTTGTACAACAATTTCTTTTTCTGCTATTTGTTAACGAGTTCACCGCTGTCGGATGACACTGGTATTTCGAATCCTTGTATAATCGGATAATCGGTGTCACAAAACCAGCAACGACGTTCCTAATAAATCTATTCGTGTTTTAACGCGTCTTCTCGACATCCTTGTTAAGAAGTTCGAGGTCGAGATAACGCCATAACGGTGTACAAAGTTTGATTAATTCAATTATCGTTGTACTCGAACGATAGTTATCGAGGCGTTAATCGATAGCAGCTTCGACAATTCATCGGGAATACACAGTAATCGAGTTTATCGCGGTCCAATCTGCGTATCATTCTTGGATACCAACCTTGTACACTCGATGGCGCAGCGTTGAAATTTAATTAACGCCTCGATAAACCTTCTCGCGTTACGTTGCGCGATCGACGATCGACGCTTTCAATGAAAGTTGCGAAGAGTCGTTCGAGCGTGCTCTTTGGTCGATGTCGGTAACACGATAAAGGTAAAAAAGCGGGCCTGTTCGAAGGGAAGCGTAGGAAAGATGACGGCGACGATCGCGTTGATGATGATGAGGATGATGATGGTAGACGAAGAAGGAGCTGGTCACGGCGCGGTGAGTTTGCGTGGCCAGTACCTTCTAGCAACTTCAATCTCTTCTTCTTCGTATCAACCGCGACTCGATCTAACTCATCTTCGATATTGCTTTCGGTGAGAAACAACAGGATACGAAGCAAGATTTCCTACGCGAAGCGATCCAAGTAAAACGCGAATCTCTCGAGGGCCGTGGTAGATAATCGACTCCATCAAATTGAAACGACTACTACAAAAACTTGGACCTAACAAAAAATTACTCTGAAAACACTCGATAGCTACGATACGATACGATACGCTATAGAGACATCCCTCTGGGTTCTCAGCAGGCTCCCTCTACGTTCTCTTCAGAGTTTTCTTCTCTTCCCTAAATTTCTGCTGAACTCTCCGTAGGCTCTGATCAAGCACGTCGTAGGTTTTCGCCGCGATCAGTCGAAATCAAAGGCAAATAATGGAAAACTCGTGCGCGACGATGCGTGAAGTGGCGTTCGTTATTACAAGGAATAATCGACAGTGGTATTAAGAATGTAAGCACTTCCTGAAGTCAATGATTCATAGTGGCGAAGTAACGACGCCCGTACGGCCGGCGTCGAGTATCGGAAGGCGTTACGCTTCTCTGACATTGAACTCACCGGCATAAGACGCGCTCTGCCAGAGCAGTCCGACCACCTGTTCACCGCAGATCCAGCTTCCGTTTTTAACCTTCTATAACTCGAATTCTCCTATCGCAAAAACAAATTACCAAGTTCCTTTAAAAGTCCTTCGATCTCTAGTTTACAACGAATACCTATGCGGCAATGTTTCTTCCACCGCCCTACGGAATGTTAATTCCGACATTTTCGAAAAGTTATAAGCATCGAATGAACTTTGCGCAACAACGATAATTATTTCGTTACGCAGGTTGCGTTCTATTCGAAGGGTCGACGGACCGACAATCGAAACGTGGTACCAGCAGCATAAATATTCGGCGTGCGTCACGGGGGAACACCAAGTCGACCGTCTATCTCGAATACGAACGATTCGTTACACGAATATCTTTTTCGAATGATCGAAACGCACGATCGATTCTTAACAATACGTTCCTTCCACTCCTCGTTCGAACAATAAAGCGTTATTTCCGAGTCTCTTCGTTGTTTACTGCTCGCAATTTCGTCAGCAGCTTTAGAAGCGGCAATTGAACGGAGAAACGCGTTTCGGTTTTACGGGTCTCGTCCTCGTTGCTTAACACCGCCACGGCCCTGACTTTCAACCGACTAGACTTAGACTCTCACCGTGGGAATGCCGGCCACGAGGCATCGCATCGATCGCTTCGAACCTTTATTCTTCTACCTCGATTTATCTCGCTTCGTCTTCGGTTCTCACGTTTACCTGTACAGTTGAAAAATTCTAGTTCGCCAAAATAACATTTATACGCGTTTGCTCTTGTCTCAGCGTTTATCCGACTCGAATCGATGCTCGACCCCGCGGCTAAACGTTCGCCTATTTCTATGTATCGAACGTCTAGCGAAATAAACGAACGACCTTGCGCCTAAGCATCCGAAGGAGAACTACCAGCCAGATCGAAGAGACGCGTCGAAGATGACCGCATAACTCACAGAAAATCTGGAAAAGTCCATATGTCCGCGAGGACGGTGATCTCCGGTTGCCATGGTCTAACTTTCGATCGTTCCGAAGCATCGTGCACCAATTACATAGAGAATGGTACGACACTGAACCCGGCACGTACCTTGTCCGTGTATCCACTTGCTATACTCAGGTACTCAGCTTCCGGGTTGATTGGATCACCGCCTAATCACTCGCTTATCACTGGTACCCCGTTCGAACTTCCGTATGAAACTTGCCGAACCGCGAATCGGACGAAGCGACAACCGCGAACGAAACGGAGGAAATGGACGAAGAACGGAGGAAGAGATCCGTACACCGGTCGATCACACGCGACGAAACACTTGCGTCGATCTAAAGCGAAAAAACAAACTAACGTTCCTGATGGCTAGGCTGTCGGCACGGCTCTGTCTTCGAGGCGGCGCATCCAGCTCACTTTATAAACCGAGCTGGTTGGGTGGTGGTCGCGTTTACTTGCCGTTTAAACCTGCCATCTTATTGGCCGTCTTCGCGTAAACGGGCCACGCGATTGGCCAACAAGATCTAGCGGTACCGTTTGCCTCCACGCCAGGGGGATCTCGCTCGTCTTCGATGCTACGCGATGTTTCCGCGCGTATCTTTCTCTTTCTGGCCCACCTTTCTCCGCGTTCTCTTTTTCCATCCAGTCAACCTATAGGCTAGTTACTTCGCGTAATTAAGGAACAGTGACATTTTACCGTTTTTTCTCCTTCTCTCTTCTTTCCGACGTGGTCGCTCCTTTCCTCGAGCACGCTTCTTCGAGACACGCTCGCGTTAAACGCGCTCGAGACACCGAGCTATTCGCGCTTCCCTTCGAACTGGCCGGTCGTAAGAATTTAGCGACCGGGCAGGAGAAAGGGCTCACCATCCAGGCCCATGTATCGGATCGATCGTGACTCGATGCTTAGAGACGTGTCCGCGAACATGCTCCTCGAGCGCTGCCCTTCCGATTTAGCTGCGCTCTTCGCCATCGACGAACAAACTTTGTTACGATACGATACCTACCAATTAACTCTCGTCTTCCCCGTAGGAATATATCCTGTTCCTCGAACCATTTGTACCGGCCGCTCATCGATAAATAAAGAAAGCAAACATCGTCCGGTTAGCGTGGCAACATCCGCGTCACGTTGTTTCCCGCGCGCAAAAACCATCGGAACGAAGATGGAGCGGATGAAAGGCTTTTCGAAGATCGATCAAAGAAGATCGCAGGATACATCGGTCTAGCAGGAAGCAACGTTCGAACGATGGTTAGGTGGCAGGGGGTCAAGCAAGGCAATAAGCAAGATTAATTCGGTTCGTCGAGTGGCGGAAATCGCGTCGTTGAACTCGAACCGCGATCGTTGAACACGAGGAAGATGTCTCCTGACGCGATCGACGATCAGAAGGCCAAGCTTTTTGCGACTCCATGCTTCCTATACCTGCTGCGTTTACTAATAAGACAACTTCATTCCAAGCTTTCCACTGAATTTCTCGCGGAAAATCGCTGGAGAATCACACGGAATTTATGTTTCTTGGCAAACGATGTTGTACCTGTATCAACCCCATTAACATAATCGACTAACGCTACAGGAAAATGAAATAGTATTTTGTTCGGGAGCGATAAAAAAATCGATGCTTAGCGCGTTCACTGGCATACGGGTCATCCGAGAGTGGCATTTCGCACGTAGCGTAATGGAATAATCAACCTTCCGACAGCTGCAAACTTATGGTACTCGTAGCTTAGTAATAAGGTTTCCACGCGATACGTTGGAATAGTTGAAATTACACCAATCTTCAAAGCGCTATTCGCTAATGATAGACGTTTCTTTTATTCATAAATCGAACGATAATCCGGACGGCGCATAAAGGAGCGGGTTCAAGCTTATTCGCCTCTCTCGAATCTGCAGAAAGTCGCTCATCCTTTTAACACGAGCTTATCCGATAACCTTACGATGTTAAACGCCGAATGTTAAAATATTTTTTACGCGGTATAATCACTGCGATCAACGTCTATTTATAAGTCGTCTCGTAAAATTCTACGAGATTACTCGTACGAAACACAGTTGAAAACCGTTAGAAAAAAAAAGTGAAAAAGAAAGGAGTAAACGTTAAAGAATCTCGCGGTTATATCGTTTTCCCGTTGATCGCGATGCATGGCCAGATTCCGGAAAATGTAGCACGATTCTGGCCAGAAGAAACCGCGCGGCTTTTATCTGTCGGGTATATTCCTCGGGAGCGATTCTCTACATTCCAGGCATAGTAAAACGGCTAGCTTTCGGCAAATACAGTTGTTCGAGTAGAGTATCGGTTCGTTGGTAACAAGGCCGTTAAGCGCGGCAAGAGCGGTGCAAGCGTAACGACGCGTACGTGCAGCGCACGCAACCTACTGTAATTTCTATTCGGATAAATCGACCCGCGTATAAACACGAATTAAACGGCCGTACAACGTTGTACAAGTTTATCGAGGAGAAAAAGAAAGGCTCTAGTGGAGATTCCCGAGGAAAGATCGCCCACCTTCGACCAGTATTTTTACCATAGAAAATTGACGGGGATGTCGTAACTGCGGCGTTTACCGGAACATCGACCGGCACCGTAAACGTAATAGTCCTTGCCGACAGCCGTTCATCCATGAAACTGTTATCCACTCGAACGCCAAGGGAACTCGGAAAGAAAAGAAGCGAGGATCGGTGGGATCCATCGCTAGAATTCAGGAATGCGAGTAAACGGCCGAAATCGCGCGAAATTGCTGCTCCAGCAGCGTACATTCTAAAATGATCTTGAAATTCTAGATCGAACGTCCGCTCGCGTTTGAGCGTCTTCCTGCCTACTTCTTGCGGCAAAATGATTCGTCGATATCGTCGTAATGTATGCCTCGAAAATATTTATGCAAATACGTACTCTGTTTGATCGATTCGAAAGTTGAAAAAGTATTATCGAAGCTTGGTTGTTAGTCGGTCTTCTCCTCGTGTACAGGCTTTCCTCGTTCGTGCAAAATTACAAGAGTTTTTAAACGACAGCGCTTCGTTGTTTAGGATTCTACGAACGCTATCGTAGGCTCGTTACGCTTGTACAACAGAACGGTGATTCTTTTTTTGTTGAACGAAACGCGCGCACAGAAAATTGTTGCGGCTGCCCGTAATAGCGGTCGTTACGCACACGCAACGTTCGAGTAGATCTCGAGGAAGAGTAAACGGGGAAAATTTCGCGGATTTAACCTCGCATTCTCTTCCAGGTTTTCTTTGGACGATCCTTTTCGAGACGCGCCTCGATCTCCCCTCGTGATCTCGCGTTCCTCGCCCTTTCGTAATTGTTCTTTATTGGCACGATCCTCCTCTTTAATAGGCATTTTAGCCGCAGGATATTCGAGCCGTTAATAAAAGACGTATCGAACGTAAATCGTTTCGCGTGACTTCGGTTCTATCGAGGTGTTCGACGCGCGTTAAAAGGCGTAAGGTGGGTAAACGCGAACGCTGTTCCGATACTAATGACGGTCGTGAGAGGGGTGATCGATTATTCGACGTTTTCCTCTCGCGAGAGATTCTAGATGCTAAGATAAGTTTACATTTTATTTTGCGACGCGTTGAAAACGTTCGAAGACCGAACGAAAAGGAGCTTCTGGTCTTGAACGTAGTTGTCCGAGTAATCACCGAAGAGCACGGACATCGCTATGTGTTCGCGATTAAGAATACATAACCACGAGACTACGGGACAGGTTTGTCCACGGACAACGTGGCCACCAACCATGAAGAGAACCGTGGAAAACAATCAGCAGAAATCAGCGCCGTTGGTCAGTCTAAGTGCCTAACTGTAGCGTTTTATGCTCGTTGATCTAACGTGCATACGTTCAAAGTGGTCTGCTGCGACCACGTGGCAGTATGCAGATAAGCCCTCTCCTACCCTGTCTAACTGTAAGCTTTTACGCGTTGCTAACCACTTACGAACTACTTATATTCGCATTTTCCACTGGCGATCACACTTTCGCGAAACATTCTTGTTCCGTCTTACGAAAACGAACGAGACTTCTCGAAAACTGAAACGCGTCGAGCCACAACGTATAGACACGCGAAAGGGCTCGAAGCGTCGACGTACAATTCACCGACAAACAACGCTCGAGCATAGTCATGCGTAGCCTTTTTGTTTTGGCAAATAACAAAGATGTCTCGTGCAAGCTGGTTCGCGAGACGGCGTAACAGAGTGCACGGATGGATCTCCAATTAAACGCTTCTGAATCACAGGAAGTTCCGCGCTGTCCACGGCACCGCTCAAGGTGTCCGTCGAGTTTGCAGAAGGTCTTCGCCGCGTTCGTCCCGGATAAAATCAGCTCGTTTATCTACGCATTCATCTGTCACGCTCGTTCCTCCTGCACCTTCAATTTCGAACGAGCATTCCCTTATCCCTCCTCCGAAGCGCATCTTACGGTTCTTCCAGCCTCTAATAAAGTATCTATTTATCTGTCTATCCGTCCATCCATCGTCGGCTTCGGGCGTATACGATTCCCTCGTGGGTCGTGCGAAGTTATTTCATGCCGTGGCTCCGATGATTCTTTAAGAACTCCTCAGGGTTCGCGCGCGGGCGTGGAAAGCTCGTAAATGGACTCGCTAGAGGAGGTCGCGCCTTCGACGGAGGTCACCGCGGGTTAATCGCTTAATTATGCTGTTACACACAATTTCGTTGACCTTCTCTACGGGTCCCGTGTTCATCGTTCTCCTCCACGACTTTTACATGCATATTTTATCCTCGTTCGAGCACGATAAGTGCCACTGACGCCCGAAGTACTTGCAAGGGACACTTAGCAAACTTGCGTTTTATCGGTTTCTCTCTCTTCTTTAACAACAAGCTAGACTATACAACGAGAGATTTTACGATATTATACGATTACTGCCGCAACTTAACGGAGAATTGTATTTCGTTACTTTGCCATATATCCGAATTTACTATTATATTTGCATCTCATGGTTCCCTGTGCAGAGAGACTCTTTACTAAGCGAATTCGTCTTTCTGTCTTTCTCTCTCGGTTGCAAACTTGGAGTACTTTCAACGCAACCATCGCAAATCGATCCATGGGAAGTAATGTCGGTAGCGGAATCGCTTGTAACGCTAGCAAATAATTTGTACCTACGCTCGGCGTTACAAGTTCTAGCTCGTAATTCGTTCCCATAATTAATCGGATCGATATAATGGTATCCGTTCGGATGATTTCTCAGGCTGGCCGGAATCGAGTAACGTAGCAAAGGAGGAATAACCGGATCGGCGTATTGCGTGGATAATCGAGAATCGGAGGAAGCGCAACTTTTTCTTTCCTGTTTTAGAAGAATCCGATTTGCTTCGCGCTGCTAATTAATCTCCAACATTTTTCTGAATCGGTCATCAACGAATTCCGCAACGGACGTTCTTTCCTTCCTCGATCGGAAAGAAGAAGATCGATCTTTTACGGTCTACCGATTCGACTGGTTAAAATCTGGCTAGACGAGTCTAATTGTTTCGGGAAGAGCGCAGGTCGTTTCGATCCGATTCGCTTCCCATACTGCCGTTAGAAGAGTAAGGATCCTGA